CAAAGTTCAAGCAGGGATGCCAGAGATTGCAGCAGGGACAGGGCCTCTGCTAGACCAGCCTGGGCTCTGGTGCTTCCAGTGCTCCCCAAAAGGTGAAGGGAACAAAGCCTTTGTTTTTCCCCACAGCATCACACCAAATACCAACGTGGTTTGTGTAATGGTAGTGTTTTTCTTTGCCTTCTAGCCAGAGGACTTTGTCAGCATGGCAAACTTCAAGGGCCATGCACTTCCAGGCAGTTTCTTCCTGGTCTTTGGGCTCTGGTGGTCTGTGAAATACCCACTGAGGCACCTCAGCCAGAAAGCAAGCAAGAAGTCCCAAAATAATTACTGCTTCCAGCGCATGGATGCCATTGAAGGAGGAGTTAAAATCACCTTTGCTCTAATAGGTAAGAGCTATGTTGAGTTGACAATGCCAACAGCTTTCCATGTTGTAGCAATGACCATTATGGAATCCTCACTCCAGAGAAACTGGTCCAGATGTGGAAGGATGCATCTCCTTGATGCTCACCTTGTGTTGAGAGACCAAATCTCACAGCCCTTCCCAAAGCTGAGCTACCATTAAGGCAGCCAATCCTGACCCGAGTCAGTGGCTGTTGCCTTCAGAAAGCCTCCGAAGCAAGCAGCAGCATCAAACCATCATTGCATATAAGCCACAATCTTGTGTGCCCATGCAGGGATGCTGGCAGAGCAGTTCGTCCCCGATGGGCCCCATTTGTACCTCTACAGCGGGGAGAAACGCGACTGGGTGAAGCTGATGAACTGGCAGCACACCACCATGTACCTCTTCTACGGCCTCTCCGGGGCGGTGGACATCTTCACCTACGTCTGCACCAAGGTGCCGCGGGGGCTGGACCGCCTGATGCTGTCCGTGGCCGTGTTTGTGGAAGGTCAGTAGGAGATAGGAGGGGTCTTGTTGGGTGAGTCACAGTGAGAACAAAATTTGGCAGGCTGAGATATCGCCCTGGACATCCCTGAGGACAGGACAGTTCTGATATATTATCAACGGACTGCCTGCTGCAAGATGAGAAATATAGGCATTGATGCATCCTGGCTCTCCTGGTTTGGGGTTTCTGGTGTGACAGCGGGCTGAGTTTCCTTGTTATGATGAATTGCTGGTGGATAGCCCATCTATCTTACATCCACTGAGCTGTTTGCATGCCCCATGCTCCCCCCAAGGGCCATTAATTGTGCTGCAGGCATTGTCATTCTCATCTGCTTGCATTGCAAGTGGCAAATTGAAGTGACTTATTCTGGCTTCAGCACATCATGAATATCATTATGTCTTCAGACTGTCTTGGATATTGTGAGCCTGGATTTCAGACCTCTCGGCTCACACAGGGCAGGAAGAAGACACTAGGAAATGAAGTTCTTGCTTACATTAGTGAGAAATATTGGTGGTAGGTGGGCGGTTGGACAAGATGACTGTAGAAGTCTTTTCCAACCTTGGTGATTCTATGATTCTGATATTTTCTTTTCCCTTATCTCAGTGGTGTTTGAAGCACAGCACAGGCAGCTCAGCAGGTAATGTGTAGCATGTAAGAAAAGGGAATCACAGAATTGCAGAATATCCTGAGTCGGAAGGGACCCACAAAGATCATTGGGTCCAACTCAATGCACCCAGGAAACGTATCTCAGAGGAGACACAGGTGCTCCCCGTGGCCACACTACTCGTGGCATTAAGAAATGATTTCACTTCCACGTCTTCCTAGATTGCTAATTTGATATAAACTAGGGGCTCACTTCGGATAAAGCTCCCTGAGAGGCAGTGGGACGTGATTTACTCTCAGTGGTGGTGGTCAGTATGGTTGATGCTACCCTAAGCATGGTGCTCGTTTTGGCAGGTTGTCTCTTTTACTACCACGTCCTTCACCGCCCCATGCTGGATCAGCACATCCACTCCCTGCTGCTCATCGCCATATTTTCGGGGGCCTGCAGCACCATGCTGGAGGTCTTCCTCAGGGACAACATCGTGCTGGAGATGTTCAGAGCCGGCATCACCATCGTGCAGGGAACGTGGTTCTGGCAGGTGAGGGCTGGCTCCTCCTGCAGAGCAGAGCACTGTGGTGGCAGAGCCATGTGGAGAGGAGAAGGAGCCATACTTCAGATCTCAATCACGCGTCTCTAAAGAGCAATTCTGCAAGTAGATCATAACCCAGAGTGAAAATTTCCTCATCGCAGGTCATCTCTGATGGCTGCTCTGGCTGAGATGGCTGTTTGTCTTGGCTTATTGCTTCTCTGGGGGGAAAGGCGAGTGCTCACAGTAAGCAAGAGGCGTTCTGCGGTATCTGACAACCAAGTCCTAATTGCTTAATGTGTCTAATGCACCCTGCAGCACTCCCTGTGGCTCAGTGGAAAGATGCAGTCCCCACCAAGGAGTCAAATGGCTGAGTGAAAGCACGGCCACCTGCTCGCTTTGGTGGTGGAGATGCAAAGAGATCAGTTAGAGAGAACTGCTCCCAAAACTCAGCTGCCAGCAACAGATGTGAGCTCTCCTCCTCTGCCTCAGCCCCAGAGCTGCTGTGTTGACTCAGAGCAGCCCTTATCCAGGGATGTGAAACACCAAAGGTGCTGCACAGCTGTCCAGGGTGTGGTGGGGTCCCTGAAGGGGTTTCATAACCATAGGGATGTGGCACTGAGGGATGTGGGCACAGCTGGGGCTGGAGATCTCAGAGGTCTTGTCTGACCTTAATGGTTCTATGATTCTATGGTTCTATGATCCTATGACTCTAAACTTGGAGGGCTGGGAGTCTGTAGTGCAGAGAGACAACTAGAAGCTTCAAAGCTCCTGTAGCAGCTTCTCATGCCTCCAGAATATCTTGGAAGGTCAGGAAGCGATAACACCGTTTGCAAACCAGCCCAGGCTCATGTTTCAGAACACTGATTTCCCCCCAAGGTAACAAAGTTCTCATCCCACCCAGGTTGGGATCGTGCTGTTCCAGCCATGGGGAGGTCCCATGTGGGATGAGAGCGACCACAGCAACATCATGTTCCTCACCATGTGCTTCTTCTGGCACTGGGCAGCTGCAGTGGTCATCCTGGCTGTGAACTACAGCATTGCTTACAGGTACGGCTGGGGCTTGGGAGGAGTAGGGCAGGGCTGAGATGTGAAGCCACAGCTGGATCCACAGCCTGTGCCTGCTGCAGGTTTCAGAGCACAGCAACAAATGTATGCTTTATTTGTTGAATGCACAGAATGCAAAATAGGGGCAGCAAGAGGCACAGGCACTGAGCATGGAGAAGGCAAGAAAGCGCGACCCCGAGCTGCTGTGCAAGCTGTGCGCTGTTGCTGCTCTGCAGCGGGTGCTGGCTGACACCTGAAAGTCAGCATTTAATTCAATAGAAAAACCAAAGCTTTCCCATCACCACCCAACTCCCTCCCTTTGTCCCCTCCCTCACAAGGACTTCGATGCATTTGACCTTCCTTGAGCTGTTAACAAGAACGCCTGATGTTTAGGACCTCTGTAGCAGTTTATCCCCTTCTGTGTGTTCACTTTGCCAAACGTTTGGGGTTGGGCTGTCAGTGATGTCTTGTCCCATGTGTTGCAGCTGCATGCAGCGGTATGGGAGAGGCAGTGGAGAGCCCTACATCAGCCTGGGGGTCCGGAAGCAGAAAGGTGGTATGGGCTCCCAGGCTGCATTCCTGAATGGATCGGATGACGAGTGAGGAGGATGCAACCTTCTCCTGCAAACTGGAGAAGAATCAGCTTTCCAGAAAGAAAAAATACAAACAAAACCAAACACAATGTCTGGGGAGGGCAGAGAGGGGCTGCCCTTGTGCTGCTTGGAATCTTATTGTGTGCATGGTGGTCTCTGCCCTCTGTTGTACCCAGATTCACCAGCTCTGACACAAGCACTGATTACAGTGATTTTAGCAACAAAATGAAGCACAGAAATTGACTGTTAAGATAGATCCATAGGGATGGATGGCATCCTTTGGCCTTCCCAACTCCCCCACTGGCCCAACCTGCTATGCTGCAAGGTAGGGAAACTCCATGCTGGGATCAGGCCCTCCAACACCCCCACACCACAGCATCATCTCAAGGAGGGAGATGGAAGGAGCAATAAGAAATTACATCAGATTTACAACACCACAGCTTCGTCGTGCACAACAGGAATTTTATTGCCAAAGCTGTGAACTGAAGACATTTTAAAAACAGATTTCTATTCACCAAAAGTTCTTAAAGAGGGAATAAATATGAAGCAAAAAATCCTTTCAGTCTGATAAATTCAGGAGTGTGTAGCAGTGGCTCTCAGACTTGTGGAGCCCTGTGAGATGCATTGCTGAGCACCAGGACCCACCAAACAGCCCTGATTTCCATAAGCAAATCCCCCACAGCTGGGAAAGTGTGATGAAATGGGTGCGTGTTGTGTCCCCAGCCCAACTATGCTGGATAATTCCTGGCAAAAAGGTCACTTCCAGGTAAGAGGAAAGCAGATGCTTGGCCTCCCTGGGTTTGCAGCCTTTGGAGCAGGTTTGTTTCTTGGTGCTCATTTTCAGGAGGCTCAAATGGGCTCAATGCAAAGGGAATTTAGCAGCACAGCAATTCACCTCTGCAGATCTGTCCAATTAATGCCAAGCAGTGAAGTGCCATGAACTGTACCTGGAGGGTACCAGCAGATGCTCATTCTGCTATGGTTGGGGGCAGCTTTCCCCAGAGCACACAGTTCTCCTCTGCTGTGACACGAGACCCAGGGACGGCAAGCAGGAGGAGTTCTTGGAGTCCTTTTCTGACATTAACGATTCTGTGATTCTACGACAGCGCCGTGCAGCCAGCAGCTCCTCAAGCACAGAGCGAACCTCGCTGCAGGGCGGCACACGGAGCACTCGGGGTTCCAGGGGGGCAGAAAGCAAACCCAAGCGGGCAGCAAAAGCAGCTCGGTGCGATGAAAACAGAAAAGCCGACGCCACTCCTTCCAGCCCACGGCCACACGAGGGCAGAGCTGCCAGGAGCTGCGGGCGGAGGCGCCTTGGGCTCCGTTCCTCCCCCCCCCAGCGAGGGGATGCCGATAGAAGCCGACCCCCTCCCTCAGCATCCCCTCGTCCCCACCTCACGCTTTTCCTCTCCGTAGCTGGAATAGCTCTGTCTGCCTCATTAACTCCCGGCCCTACAAACGTCCTCCGGTGCGGCGCTCGTTAATTTGTTTCCCTGCTCGGGAATGTGTTCTTTCCGAGGTATGAAGGTCAGCAAAGGAGGAGAGAGGCAGGCTGTGACCGTACAGAAAACACAGGAGGAGCGTGGTTTGGGAGGAGAATTAACAACTTGTGTTTTAGCTGAAAAACGTGTTTGTAAATAGCTGAGGTACCCAAAGAATTGTTCTGGGTGCTCGGAGCACAATAAGAGCTCCAGAGATGGTTTATTATACATCAGGCACAACCAAAAGCCATCCTCACATTTATTTCTTGCGTGACAGACATTCCAGAGCAGTTCTAAATGATATATATTGCTTTTAACACAGCCTTGCTTTCGTTCAATAGGATCCTATATAGCATATGGAGCAGTACAAATTGAATTATCCATTAGCATCTTGAAACTTGGTGCTGGGCCCAGTGTTGGTGCAGCTGGAGGGAGGGGCCTTTGGAGGGCTGTATTGCCTGGGGTTGGTTTGGGGCAGTTTGGTTTTTGCTGTGCTCCTGGATGGCACTGGTTGGGGTGCAGGGATGCTGATGTTCCCACAATTGGAAATCTGCTCGTTCAAGGCAGGAATGAGCTGCAGGTGCTCCATCTAGCCCCGTTTCTTCAGCATGCCAGGAGAACACAGAACATCACCCCAGAGCACCAAGTATCCCACACCTTGCTGTCCTCCTATCCACCAGCCTCATCCCGTGCTCTTCACCAGAAGTAGGATCTACCACTGCCACTCTCTGTGGCTGCATTTATGTAAAGCTGAAGGGATGCAGCACAAGCCCAGCCTATGCTTCTACCACCTGCTTCACCTCCCCTGTTGCCTGTTTATGAAAGCCTGTCTTAGCATTCGTCATAATAATAATAATACTTTGCACTTCCCTAACAACCATCCATCTGCAGAGCCCGAGCTGCTGGCAAACCTTTAATTAGATCGTGCCTCCCACCACCCCCAGGAAGCAGGCAAACATTATCACATTTTTTCATTAGCACTGAGGCCGGTGATGAACCTTCAGGGAGAGGATGTTGCAGTTACAGCCAAGAAAAGAAGAAATAATTAAAAATGAAATGGAGTTCCGTTTGCTGTTTAGCTTGAAAACATCAGGGCTGGAGCCCAGGGAGGGCAGGAGTTGCTGGGACCATCCCATAATACTCCCCTGTGCCCCAGCAGCCTGCAGCTGGGGGCTGTAGGTGCAGCTCACTGAGCTCAGCCCCTCAGGCAGTGATTTCAGCACACAGTGTGGCTGATCCTCCAAGAGTCTGGGGGCTGCTGGCATTTATCCCACCTTACCATCAGCACTTATCCTCACTTTCCATTGTAGGGGTTGTTCCAGTGGCTAGATCCCCTTTTCCCCAAGTGTTTCATACCCTAGCTCTCCCCAGGGACTCTCACAAACAGGCTGATAAGTACTTGATTACTGTTTGCCCTTTCTATGAGACCTTTCTCTGCTTGCTGTGCTCCTGCTGGCTCTTTAAGCTCTCTTCCAAAAGGCACCTTCAGCTCCCAGCAACTGTGCCTTCTCCCTGCAGCTCTGGCCTCCCACTGCTGGAAGTGTTTTGTTCCTTCTGCTTGCCACCAGCTTTGAGGTTAGCTGGTTTTTGGGGGGATGTTGCTTTGTAGGGCTGGGTGAGGAAAGGAAGGAAGAAAACAAAGGCAGAAAGGGGAGCTGAGTTACACAGAGGCTGCTGAAGGTGCTGCTGCTCTCTGCCAGAAACCTGGGCGCTCTGTTATTTTTGGGGAGGGTCTGTAAGGAGAGCTGCTATGGGGGCTTAGGGAGAGCACTTGTACCCTACAAGGTGCTGCAGCCCTGGTTTGGTGATGCTGCACGTTCTGGCATCCCCTTTAAGCTGAAGGCTCCTGTTGCAGAATGCTCAGCTCCCTTTCTGCCCATGCAGAATGATGAGCAGCACCTGAGGGTGAAAGCACTGTGCTCCTGTCCCCATGTGCATTTCCCCTCCCTGCCAGCACTGAGCTTCCTCCCGCTGGATGGAGCTTTGCACGCTCTGCAGCTGCCTGCAGGAAGGCTGGAGGCCTGCACTGCATGGCAGCACGCCAGCAGCTGCCTGTTTTTCCTCCTTCCTCCTTCTTGCTATTGCTGATATGGAGATAAGTTGTGTAAAAGGGCTCCTGGCTATGGCTCAGTGGCCTTTATGGCTGTGCAGGAGAGCAACCCTGGGGGAGGCTGCGTGTGTTGTTTCCCCTCCTGCTATTCCAGCCTTAGGGCTTCCCTTGGGTGCTGGCTTATGTGTGCAGCTCTTGACAGGGCTGAGCACTGGGCACAGCTTATCCTGCAGCCCAAACGGGGGATTTTGGGGTTGCGTGGGGTCCTATGATGTGCACCCACATGTGTTGCGACCCAGAGAAATATTGGGTTGCGACTGCACCGAGTGCTTTTTGTTGCCTACATCTGCTCCTTGGGCAGAGCTCATTGCCTTTGCACCAGGAACTCAGTAATTTGGAAGGAGATGGGGATGCTGTGGGGTCACAGTGTCTGTTTACCTCAAGGCACTTCATTCATTGCTCATCTGTGCAGCTGGTGAGGTGAGAAGGCTGGATATGCAGGGATTACTTTGCATGTTGGTATGGTTTGTGTCTGCAAATGCTTAACACTGGGCAGCACTGAGTCAGACAAGAAAAAGGGCAAAAACCAGGCTGCTGTGTGCTGCAGAGTCTGCTCTGGGGGGCAGTGGGGCCAATTCTTCTCTCCCCCTCTTGGTTGCTGTGGGCTGGAGATGGAACTCAGAAGGGCTCCGCTTTGATTTGGAAGCCCTGACCCCAAACTCCTGCTCACAGGCACCTTTCATATGGCATAATCCCTGTACAACCCCATGCAGAGATTACTGTGCCCAGATCAGGGAACTCTGAGCCCTTCCAGCAGAACCTGGCCTCGTTGCTGCCACCTCTTCATTGGCTCTTTCCCCAGCCATCCAGAAAATAACATCATAACTGAATACACATGATCGCCACGGGAAGGGGAATCGGCTGCTCTTCCCAGTTTAGTGGCAAACTGTGGGATGCTCCTTGCTTCTGGCAGATCCAGGTGTCCCCTATTGTGAAACCATGGCTGAGTCAGTGCTGCAAGCTGGCCTGCGGGGAGCCCAGCTCCAAACATCCTGTCCGAGGGCCACCTCCCTGCCTCACCTCTGCCTTTATCTGCCCCTTCTGAGTAACAACGCGTCTGGCAAGGGAGAAGGACAAGCAGAAGCTGCAGGTAAATTCTTCTCTTTGCCCATAAAGGGAGGCCAAGCTGCCGTGTTTGGCATGGATGCAGCTCCTGGACCTTGGGAAGGGCTGTGGGGAGCCCAACTCTGTGATGTTTTTTTTGTGTGATGGTGGCTGCTGGAAAGCTGTTGGGGTGGTGTTGGTACAGGCAGCCTCCTGGTGCTCTGCAGGGTTAAGGCTTGTCTGGGGAGCTCTCAGGTTCTGGGGTCGTGGGGGAGGATTTGCAGGAGGAGAAGAGAGAGGTGGGGATTTCTGCTCAAGAGAGAAGTGCCCACATAGCAGAGATAGAGGAGGAACTGCAGAGAGGGGTATGTGGGGAAGGCTCTCCAGAGCCCATCGTTCAGCATGGAGGATGCTGGATGCTGTCCTGGATGCTGCCCCTCACACCCATGGGTACTCACACATCCATCTCTGCCTGGGGCCAAAACCACCCATGGTGCTGCTTTGCTGCTGTGTGATGGAGTTTGAGGGGACAGTCTGGCAGCTGGGCAGAGCTGCAGTCCAGCCCACACCAGGCAGTCAGCACACTGTGCCATAAGGAGAGCGGGCAGCTCCCATATGGCTGCTGCAGGAGGGCACTGCAGCCTGCAGGGAGAGAAAGACAGCACAGGTAACAACTCCTGACTGCAGCCATGTTTCAAGTCCTCTGACAGGCACAGTTGCTTGCAGGAAAAATAAATAACCCAGCACTGCACTCTGGGGCTGCGACTCGCCTGGAGCCTGACCAGCTTGTGTGGGAGCGTCTGGGTGCTGGGCTGGGTTTGTCCTTACTGGGACGTGCTGCACCTCAAATGTGTGAGCTGTGAGAGTGGTTTGTTGCTTGGAAACGTGTCTGGTTTCTCTAAGAAATAGTGGCTGTTCCTTAAAATAAGTTTTTGTTGTTGATTTTTTTTTTCCTTTCTCTGAGAGAGATGAATTCAAGCATCTGCTTGACCAAAGGGTTGGGATGGGGAATCTCTCCTACTTGAAAGATAAACCTCCGGTTGTAATTTGGAAGCCTGGGTGCTGCTCTCCTCTTCTCCTCCTCCATGGAAAGCTAATGCTGTGGCTGTGTCCTAATCCAGGTGCAGTCCTGACTCCAGCTTCAGGCTGCTGTCATTGCAGTTAGCATCCCTGTAGGACAGTGGTAACATTTGGTTATATATCATGCAATTGTGCATCGCTTAAATGTGATTTAAGAGCATTTGTTTTTAGTCACTTCAGCACGTGGCTGCGTGTGCAAGGAAGATAAGTGCCCTGGATGGGTGTCCAGGCTATAATCAGCAGAGACACAGTCCCTCCTGGGGCACGATCCACCTCACCCCTGCAGCTGAGGTACAGCAGAAGACCTGAACCAACTGCTGGGATGGGGCAGCTCTCATCAACCCTAAGGGCTGTTGAGTCATTTCCCTGCCATGAGGAAACCTTAGCATGGAACAAAGAGTCCCAAGCCTTCCCCAGATCACCCATGCTGGGTGATGGATGCCGATGCTCTGGAATCCACAAGCTGCCCCAGCACTGCAGCTCCAGCCTGGCCAGGGATGTCTTGCAGAGCTCTCCCACACCCGAGGCACTCGCCACGCCACATCCTACCCTTATTTCACAGTGCTAATTACTTTCTCGTGTGGGAGGACTTGGAGAACGTGCTGGAGTTGTTCATCCAGCCTCTGCCATTTCCTTTGGTATTTATAAACACGGCGAGGATGTATTTGTGATGCAAGGGGCCCCCTGATGCAAGTTGGTGTGGCAGCTTTTCTACAGATGAGTAATGCTTTCTTCCACACAAAGCCCAGAGGTGGAGAAGGAGCAGAAAGGCTGCGAGGAGGGCAGGAGTGAGGGCTCCTCGGGTGGTAGATGTATACAGAATGTGGAGAGATGCCTTGCTCACATTCAGCACAGAGGTTGTGTGGAATATGCATGAGGCTCTTCTGGGCTCACGTTGTCACGGCTCACTGTGAGGCTTTGGCTGATGGGAGCTGCTGGGCACTCCAGCTGGATTCACACCCAGCGATTATCTGGTTGGGAAGGAGCTGATATTCCAAGGAAATAATTGCCATGCTGCTTTTTATGAGCAGAAGCATTGTTACGGGACCTCAAAGCATGGAGCTGCCATGTCTTCTTGAGTGTTAACATCATTTTTTTTGTGTCACGAGGAAGTTGAGGTGACTGAAACACAGATACAGAGTGATGTATGCCATCACAGAGTACACATGATGGCAGCTTCTCCTTTAGGCACCGTGTCTCTGCATTCCCTGTTGCAGTGGATGCTGCAGCTCCCCAGGAGGCTGAGCAAGCTCTGGGATTAACCTGAGCCTGTTTGTTCCTACAGACACCAGGAGTGATCCCAATGCCGACGAGTTTCCTTGGCAGAGCCCTCCGGGGCACCTTCTTCCTCATCTTTGGTCTCTGGTGGTCGGTGCGATACCCCCTGAAGTATCTCAGAAGGAAAACAAATGCTGAGAACCAGCCAAGCTATGGGCTCCGGCGTGTGGAAGTCTTTGAAGGGGCAGTCAAAGCTTTCTTTGCCCTGGCAGGTAAGGGCTGAGGAGTCCCTGTCCCATCACCTACTACCAGTTCACTGAGGGCTGTCACAGTGGCACACAGCTGTTGCTGTGTGGGAGGACTTGGGGACAAGCTATGGCTTGGTCTGCTACCATCAGTATCAATATTGCTGGGCGGATATCACTATCAATTCCCCATCTCGAAGAAACATTTCCAAGTTTGCCCTTTCCTCCATGTAAAAGGAAAACATGACCTTTCTGCCCTCTTCCTAGGGATCCTGGTGGAGCAGTTTGTCCCCTCTGGTCCCCACCTGATGCTGTACAGCCCCAAGACGCACAGCTGGACGGACCTCACGCATTGGCACTACTCCACCATGTACCTCTTCTTCCTCCTCTCTGGCATCGTGGATGTGGTCTCACACTCACCACTCAAACTGCCATTGGGTTTAGATCGGCTCTCGCTGTCTGTGGCTCTGTTCATGGAAGGTGAATGGGGGGCTGGAGGGAGGGCTGGGGTGTCACCAGCGTGCATCAACCAAAAACCCCCAGGCTGTATTTTGGTGTGCTGTGCTCCATGTGCACAGGGGTTTGGAGTTCTCCTGGTGAGAACTCCTTGCTCTCTCCAGCATCACAAAAATGCACTGACTCTTCTAACATAAAGGGACAAACCCTGACGCAAAGCTCTGTGATGCCTTACAAACTGCAGGTGCCCATTTCTGGGCTCCTCCTGGCTGGAACACAGGGATGCCTGTGGCTCAAACAGTGCCCCTAAGCTATGGCTTGGTGGTCCCCAAAGCTGGGAGCTGCACAGTCCCTGCAGAACAAGGTGATAGCAGTTGGCTGTTTGCTGCTTCACCCTTCCCATCAGGCAGATCTTAGCGAGACCTACAGCATGGCCATAATATTCAGATTTTTTTTTAATATTTAAAAGACAGAAACAAATCCCAGAGCATCCTTTCCTAATGAAGTGTTGATTTTTGTCAGGTTTGCTCTTCTGCTTCCATAACTTTGGTGATGCTACACTGGACCAGCACCTCCACTCCCTGTTGGCCTTCGCTATTTTTGCTGGAGCCCTCTGTGTCCTCCTGGAGGTGTTCCTCAGAGATCACATCATCCTGGAGTGCCTCAGGACCAGCACATTCCTTCTGCAGGGCTCCTGGCTTTGGCAGGTCAGTGGGAACCCAGCGCTCCCCCCCGAGCTGTGGGCTTTGCCCCAGGAAGGAGCAGAGATGCTGTGATCATAAGGGTGGGAAACCACACTCACAATTTTCTATTCTTATTGTGAGTAATGTTCCAAGTAATGTTTGGATCCCTTTCCCCAAGATGAGCATCCCATGTCCATGACAGTTTGGCTGATGAGAGCACTGAGGCAGTGTGCTGGGTGTTACAGGGATTATTATCTCATGGCAAGCTGCAGCAGCAAAGGGATCAAAAGAGGAGGAAAAGCAATGAACAATCATAGAACAGCTTAGGTTGGAAGGGACCTTTCAGATCATCAATATAGTAAAGCCTGATGTTTCTGCCTAACACCTCTGTCTGTGAGCAGATCGGGTTTGTGCTGTCCCCTCCCTGGGGAGGACCGGGCTGGGACCAGACTGACAGCAGCAATTTCTCATTCCTCACCATGTGCTTCTGCTGGCACTACGCAGGAGCCCTCATCACCCTGGCAGCCAACGCGGCCGTGTCACGCTGGTATGTGAGCAGCTCCAAACCAAAGCCTCTCTGGGAAGCCCAACGTTGTGTTACGAGTGATGAAAATCGTGTGCCAGGGGGGCTGCTGGAAAGGGAGGGGGAAGGCTGGGTATCAGGGTGCTCAGCATCCTTGCTGATGGGTTGGGGTGAGCAAACAGCTCTGCTGCCTGCGTCCTGCTGAGCCGCGTTCCTGTCACTCCCCACAGCTGCAACGAGTCCTGCCAGCTGCGATTCGGGGACATCGACGTGGAGTTGGACTGCGGCCTGTGCGTCCGCAAGAAGGGCTCTGGTGGGGCACTGCTGCCCGAGGGCGGCCCTGAGGAGAAGTGAGGCTGCAGCGGGAAGTGGCGGCTCCTCCTGCTGCTCTGGGGATCTTGAGATGAACTTCGGAGTTCTGTTTGGTTAAACTGGAAGCAGCGGAAGCGGGAGGTTGAGCCCCAAAGCTGAGCTGCTCCTGCGTGCTCCCGGCTCCCTCTGACAGCGAGGAGTTTGCCATTTTCTCAGGACTGGTTTGCTGGCAGGCGATGTGGCTGGTTGGGCTTTCTCTGAACCCAGCAGGAGGGATGCAAACTGCCCCCTGAAGCAGCTCCTGGTGCCTGCTGCTCGCTGTGCCGCTAGCAGAGGGGTTTTGTACAAAGCTTTGCATGCACAGAGTGTACACGGTCCCAAATAAAGTGCTATAATAAACCTCCTTATGGATCTCCTCACTGTGCCTTGAGGTCGGAAGCACTGCAAGGCAATGTCTGGCTGTTGGGCTGTTTGGGAGTGAATGGAGAACTGGTTGGGGCTCCTGGAGAGCAGTTGCACACAGCTGCAGCCCTGCGGGTTTAGATCAGAAGTGAGAGGCAGTTTTGGAGCAGGCAATTTGAGCACAAGGATGTGGCGTGCTCAGGAGATGGGGCCTTGCTTTTCTCCTAGGTCTCTCACTTGGCTTGCAGCTGGACAGCAAGGAATCGCTTCCTGCCACTGAGACCAAGTTGTCATTAAACAGGATTAATGAGAGAAGAGAAAGTTCATCGATGGTGCTACATCCCCTTCCAAGGGCTGGGTGAGGTGGCTTAGCCCACACCTCCACAGACCCCACCAGGCCTTGGGGGAGAGCCCACCCTGCCCAGGGCAGTGCCATTCCCAGCCCTGCAAGGTCCCTGCAAATGGTATTCGCTGCCCCTATGGGACCAGAGGCATGGCCACACAGTTGGCTCATTAAGGACTGGCTGCCACTGATGGGAAGCTGAGCGCAGAGGTTATAGCCCCACGTACTGTACTTTGATGGAAAAGAAAGGGAAAAAATCCTCTTTCCCTTTTGATCAAGTGTTGCACTTTGCAGTTTTTTTCTTGTCTTGGTATTACCTGGAGTAGCAGAAATGCTGAGGCACAGCCTGAGGCAGTGATGGAGCACCTGGTGGGAAGGCAGGGCCAGCACAGGTGCATGCAATGTACTGAGTGATGGAAAGGCTGCAGCCAGGATCCACCCCTTCCCAGCCCTCATTCTGAGATTGGCAGTGGACGTGAGAACATCTAGTTGTAGATCTCTGCATACCTGAGGCCTTCTAAAGGTAAGCAGCTTTTTTTCTTTTGTTTCTGTGTATATAGCAGCTGTATTTGAGCATATTCTCACTTGCTGTAGCTAGGACTTTGCTTCTTCAGTATTGTTGCTCTGCTTTCCATCACATTATAACATCACAACTAAGGAATGTGGAATTGCTCTTACTGAGGTTTTCACTAGTTAAAGTCCAGGTTTTAGTGGAGATGTTTCCTTTTCCTTGAAGAAATGCAAATAAGAGCAAATACTTAATGATCCTCATGCCTGCGTGCTGAGTGAGCTCAGCTCCGTGCCCAGAGCAAATGCCTGAGGGTTCCCTTGAGCTGTGCACACAACATGACCTGTCATTGAGCTGGGCAGTAGCATTGGGTGGTGTTGAGATGTCACACATGTTCACTGAGTCAATGGCACAGAAAGAAAGAAGCAGGTTGGTGTAGCTCTGATTGCATCTGTAGAGCACTTCCTAAGGAGCTGCAGGTGGAAGCAATTCCCTACACAGCTTCAGCCCCAAGCTGGAAGGCAACATATCTTGGTGAGTGGGCAGTGGCAGCAGTGAGGAAGTTCTGTGGGCTCTGCTGGTGTAGCAGTATGGTTTGGTTTGGTGCGAGGACACCCACCTTCCTGCAAAGCCCTCATATTCAGCCCCAGGGAGGCAGCAGTGATGTGGACATGCCATTCCAGCTGGTATTATTGTCCTCACGGTCCATGGCTCCTGGAATCACCTCTACCCAAAGCAAAGCCTCCATTTGCATGCTTGCAATCCATTAATGCCTAACTAAATGACAGCGCTGGAGCCAGGAATGAAGGCAATACCCACTTGTGTTGTTGCTGCTTCCTGTCTGTTAGTGTAAGACTTGGGTTAGTGGCAATGTTTTCTGTTGCACAGTTAGTCAGGGATTGAGTGAGCTCCTGTGCTGGGGGAGTAGTGGCTCTCCTGCTTCCCACCTGCAGCATTTGGTTATGGATTGTGAGAATTGTGTCTTAGCACTGAAATTCTTGAGCCTCTAGACCCAAATGCTGCTCGTGAATCATATGCTGAGTCTCAGTTGCAGTGGAGTGGTATTATTGACACAATGTTCTGTTTTTTCCCTTGAGCTATTGCTGTGTGTTGTGTTTGGTGCTGCTGGGCAGCTGCTGCTCTCAGTGCTGCTTTGCAGATAGGAGCAACTGCAGGCTGGGGAAGAAATATAGTGAAGGCCAAGCATGGGGATGTGTGGCACAGAATAAATGGTGGTGTTTGGGGGGCATCCTTTGGTATCTAACAGCAGAGCTTGCAGGTTTATGGCTGTTCAGCAAGCAAGCAAGATGTGAGTGTTGCTTCAGATAAGAGCAGTTGCCTTGTAAAGCACAGAGCCCAAATATTGTCACAGAGCAGCAGTGTTGCAAGTTCCAGCCTGGGTTTTAAACTGAAGCCCAGAAATTGCTGTCTGTTTGGCAGGGCAGGGTGAAAAGTGTGCTGTAATGCTGTCATTGGGGTAACTGGGCTGGGGGCTTCTCTGAGAAACACAGGGGGGAAAAAAATCCTTAAAGAGTGAGCTGAGCATGTGCTGGGTAACAAAGTGCTTCCCCAGGGGAACCTGGACAGGTAGCTGGGAAGGTCAATGTGGTGCTGGGGCTGTGAGGGTTGGGGAACACCTCTGGAACTAGCAGAACATAAATAGCTAAATGCCAAAAGATGAGTTTTATTATTTACTTGTTGCTATTTAAAGGGAGTTCTAAAGCAATCAGTACTTCTCAGTGTGCTTAAAGTCTTTTGTTTCCTGTGCAGGGTCCAACCAGGACATGCTGTGTCAGCCCATGCAAGCTGCAGGCATGAGATAGCATGAGATATCAGGCATCCTCTTCCAACTGCCTGAGCACAGGTATCAAATAGGATTTTACTTCAATATATTTCACCTCCCCCCCCCCCAGGGACATTCAAGAAAAGGGCAACTGGGCATAACAGCCTCTTTATTTTTATTTCCCCTTTCTTTCGCAGGTCGGTTGTGCAGAGGTGAATGGAGCTGTCTGTTTCTCCTTGTGTGCAGTGATGGAGACTGTCCTGTCCAGCAGATTGCAATGGATGCATAAATAAGAGCACAAAGCTGTTGTGTTGGCCCATTATGCTGCAGGGTCACTTGGTGTGACCTTCCCAGAGAACCCTTGCTCTCAGATGTGAGCACAGCACTGGGAGAAGAGCCCAGAGGGAGGGCTGAACCACCCCTGTTGCCATGGAGACAGCAGGGACCAGGAGGATGCTCCAGAGAGAAATCCCAGGTGGAACTGGCTGCCCTGCCCCTCCTGCTCTGGGATGGAGAACAAAGGGATGCTGTGAGAAAGGAGTGAAAGACAACACAGGTTAAGTCACATTTGCCACAACACTCACAGCCCCATGAAGCTGGAAGGGGGGAATCACAAGTCTGGAACACAGGAATAGCCTGGAGTTGTTCCAGTTACAGCCAGCAATTTTGGAAGATGATGTTAAGCTTCCTAGACTGTGCTCAATCACATCCTCAGCTCTTAACTCTGCTATCACAGATTTTTTTACTCCTTCTCACTGACAAGCTTCAGGGCAACCTCTATGGGAGATGGGACTGCTTCTCTTAGCCCCCAGCATTTCTCCTTACCTTCATTCCTGTGCCTGAACCACCCAGCTGCCATGCAAAGGCTGCCTGATGTGTCACTCCAGCCCCTCCTTCAGCCTCCAGCCTGCTCTCAGTGAAGGATTGATGCTGCAAACAGAATAGTCTGAATTGAGCTGTCCTGGCAGACCGCACGACAGCCCACAGGCCATAGGTTAAGTGCTCCTGCAACAAAGCACAGGCTCCTCGCGGGTCACTGGTAAATACAACAGAACTCTGGGCATTTTTAACCTCTTCCTGCAGAACCAAACCCCACATTAACGCTGAGCAAAGCTGCCCAGCTCACCTGCAGTGATGCTGTTGGCTCTTATGGGACCACTGGGGAAGCTTGAGCAGAGGCAGGCACTGCATGGGTTAAGGATGTCCTGACTTCACGCACTGCGGCACTTACAGCTCCCCTGGGCTCCATCCCGTGCTGTGCTGAGGCTCACAGCCAGATGATTGGCACAGGGTCCCAGTGGGGCTTGAGACCAGAGAGCACGAGCAACTTCCTACAGTGAGAAATCACAGCAGAGCTGCTTGTGGGCAGGGGGATGTGGGTCTGCCTCAACAGAGCAAACACAATGCGCCTTGCCTGCCCACCTACCACTGGGATCAATGCTTATCTTCAGCCACAGACATTTCTTTCAGGCTTAACTACATTCCAAAATACCTAATTTCAGCACTGAGCACCGCTTGCCCTCCATTTCCCTGCCTTACTCTTCATCATTCCGCTTGCCAACAAGAAGTTATTATGTCCTATAAAAACAGGCTGTCTCCCAGCTCATCTGCTTTCACTGTTTGACCCTTGCAGTGCACACACTGAAGCTTCTGCCATCTCTATAGATGCCAAGCAACGAGTTACAACTGCTTCAGACACCCAGACAGAAAGAGGTTCCGGCTGCTGACGCCAACCTCAGCCTCTGCACTAACCTTGAGATCTGCAGTTTGCTCCCAGAAGCATCGACGCTCAGTCCTAAACCACCACTGCTGTAACAGCAAAGGAGGTTGGCAAAATAAATCTGCCCACGCTACATCCACCTACTGTTGGGCACAGAATGGTTTCCATATACGTTATCCCACTGCACAACCTCAGAAGAGCAATTATTAATGAGCAGAGAGACAAGAGAGACAAAGTCATCCCACACTTCCTCCCCTGCTGCGTTCCCAGCTCCCAAAGACACCCCACGTACAGCAAACACCTTCTTAGCAGAGATCTTTGAGCACATTTCTAAACTTTCTCTTTTTCTAAGGCTGCAGTCAAAATCCATCGTAAGGAATTGATCTGCAGCACTCAGCAGTGATCACCAGAGCATGGAACTAATAGATTGGGATTCGGGTCTGATGAATTTATTTTGGGGGTGTAATGCTATAACGTGCTGGAAAGCACAGCAATAATAGTTGGGTAGCAAAGTTTTAGGCTGCGGCAAGTGAGGATAAGCCCAAGTGCAAGAGCCATGGACACAGAAACAAAGGAAGAAAGCTGCTTACCTTTGGAAGGCCTCAGGTAGGCAGGGATCTCCAATAAGATGCCCGTATCTCTACTGCCAACCCTTAAATGAGGGCTGGGAAGGGGTGGATCCTGGCTGCAGCCCTTCCATCACTCAGTGCATTGCATGCACCTGAGCTGCCCTGTGCTGGCCCTGCCTTCCCACCAGGTGCTCCATCACTGCTTCAGGCTGTGGCTCAGCACTGCCACTACAGGGGGACCAATAGAATTTATTGAAGGAAAAATCTAACGCTCAAATTCAATTCCTTTCTGTAGAATTCAATCTACAGACTTCGTAATTCATTTCTTTTTCAGCCATCCTACCTGAGGGTGCAATCCAAGAAACAGCTTTGGATTTGAGAATCGCTGCAGCATCATCTAAATGAAATTCACAGCTAAAAATCAAAACTCTTCCCCAAGTAGTTGCGACAAGCCAACAGACGGCATTTTCTAGGACAGCATCTGTTCATTCCTGCAGTCTGAATAATTCAGCCAGAATATGGGAGTTCCAATGGAACTCAGGAGCCCATTTTAAGGAGAAGCAGAACACGCAATCATTTCCTACTGAAAGCTCTTAGAGCTTCGTGTGTCCTCCTGCCTTCTCTCCCCTCTGTTCAGAGCCTTTGGGAACCACCCAGGTCAACACAAAGAAAGGCCAGGTCTGTCTCCTGGTCCCCAAAACCGGTGCTCAGACAGCAGTGACTTTGCAGTCATTTCTGTGAGACGTGAGAGAGGAAGAATTTGTGCTTGAGGTCACACTTCAAAGAGGGGAAATAGAAGAGAAATGACAGACAGAAGCAGGAACAGCTGTGAGCTTCACAGCCTGTTGGTTTTAGGTGTTCTGGAACAGAGAGTTAAACCAAACACTCAAGTTCCCTTCCTAAAACAAAACCATTAAAAGTGATACAGTAAATGCTAATTACAATTAGCAAACTGCTGCCATGGGCTCTTCACAACTTCAAAGTATTTCCAATTTGGCCATCAACAAAAAGTGAACAACGAAACTGCATCACACACTGAGGTTTGTCTCCCTGAATGCCCTCTTATCTGTAACCCACCTATGCTCCAACATGAGGATGTAATGCCAGTCAGGAGTCCCAGGCACTGCTTTAGCATCATGCCCACAGAACCACAGGGTTGGAAGGGATCTCTGGACATCACCTCGTCCATCCTCCCCCTGCTAAAGCAGGTTTCCTACCCAGGAATGCATCCCATGACACTGAGCTCTGCCAGCCACGTGCTCTCAGCCCACCTCACTGCTCACTTATCTACCCCACACCTCCCTAGCTTACCAGCAAGGGAGGCAGCATCAAAGCCTTGCTGAAGTCAAGGTACACAATACCCACTGCTCTCCCATTTACCAGCTGCCATGGCATCACAGAAGGCTACCAGATTGGCCAAGCACAATTTTCCCTCAGTGAATCCATATTTAGTCCTGATAACCTTCTTTCTTCCAGTCTCTTGGAGATGACATCCAGAATGAGGAGCTCCATCACTTTCTCAGGGACAGAGATGAGGCTGACCAGCCTGTAGTTTCCCAGCTCCTCCTCCTTGCCCTTTTTGAAGGCTGGAGCCACACCAGCTTTCCTCCAGCCCTCAGACACCTCTCCTTTTCTCCATGACCTTTCAAAAGCAGTCTGACCATCGCTTCTGCCAGCTCCCTCAGCATCTCATCAGGGCCCACAGCTTTGTGTGCATGAGGTTGCCCAGGCAATCTCTAACCAAGTAGATTCTCCCCAACCAAGGGGAAGTTTTCCTTTCCCTTACTTTCTTCTCTCTGCAAAGGCCAGCAGGATCTGGAAGTACCACAGAAGACTCTGGGCAAGGCAGAAGCGTCAATCTCAGTATCAGCATATTTCTTCAAAGATGGGAAGTAAAGGAGAGGTGGACAAGGAGGTGGGAAAAGGTCTCCCCAGGTTTGGCAAGGACAAAGTGGGAGGCAAGACCACGAATAAAGAGAAGAAACCATCTGGAAGTTAAAGTGTTTATTGATGTGTTTAAACTTTGTACATTCCCCACAGACCACACTAAGGAGTTTGCAGGTAAATCTGTGCATAGTGGGAAGAGACATGGAAGGGAAAAGAAAGTAAAGTCACAGGAGAAATAGAAAAAATACACCACAGGTTACCAGAACCTCCAGATTTAAAAAAGCCGTGAGCATTAACACCAACTATACAAGCAGTACAAAGACAAGATGGTGAGCAGAACAATACCCCTTTTGTTCTTCTCGGGGCCTTGCACCCAATTTCCCTTAAAGCAGGCAGAATCCCTTTCCCAACTTAGCCCTCTCTCCTCTCCCCACGTTCATCAGCTCCCGAGGTGCTGTCGCAGTGATTTGTCATTCTGGGAAGACCCAAAGCCATGCCTACAGCCCAACAGCACTGGAAGAGATGCAAAGGCTCAGAACACTGCACCTCTGTAACTACTTACCATGTTGGTGAGGCAGGAGAGCTGGGGAAAATTAGAAAGTAGTAGCAAAAGGGGCTGTTAATGCCAAGGTGAGTACTGAAGGAAACTGGTTGAGAACAGAGGATTTAAATCCAATACCAGGAACTTCCAACTCTAAAGCAGAACTGAATCTGAAAGGGGAATGTGCAGACCCCAGTATGCACAAACCATGTTCTAACATTCCACTAGAGCAACTATAAACAGAGATGCTAGAAGCCTTTTAACTCCTTGCCTCCAGGGAGTCTTGATTCCTAGAGCCCACACTGCTAAGCAGCAGGGTGCACATTACTGGTGTATGAGGATGGGATTTTTCTTTTTTCTTTTTTTCCTTCTTTTTTTTTCCTCATTCTAAGGATTTTTGTTCGTTGCCATTCCAAATTCCTTCCTCGTTTATGCTGTCATAGTTCCTATCCCTAAATTAATCTCTTTGCAACTCCCAGCAAAATTCACTTAAAGAAAGAAAAAAAAAAAGAAAAAAAATAAGAAAAAAAATACTGCTTTATATATAAAAGCCAGAATGAAGAGCCACAGCTGTCTCCTT